TAGTGCCCCGACTACTTCTGAAGAAATACCGTTAATAGTTGCGTGCTACAGCTTCAAGGTGCCATTTTTTCCAATTTTTAAGCTTGATGCTGTGGATGATACTTAGATAAAAATGCTGGCTTGAGAGAGGATCAAATAATTCGGTTATTTTTAGATGCTTTTGGAGCAGGTCACGAAGAGAATTAAAAGCTAGACCACTCAGTGCATGGTGTACCGTATAGCTAGTTAAAAAAACTTTTTAAGACGAGATCATTGACTATGAGAACGGAAAAACTAAATTATCTGTTGTTGCTACCATAATTACAGAGACTAGATATAAAGGTTGCTGGGAGATCCGTGGTCCTTTGAAAGTTTTTATTTGTTCTTTATTAGCTGTGGATGTAAGAAACACTTGACTCGTTTGACTCATACCACTGACCACAGGCAAATAGAGCGGTAATAAGTAGACATTAAGCATGCTTCAGCTTCTAAAAAACTTGTAGAAGCTTTTTGATGCTACTAATAACCTGCTTTTATATTGGAATGATATTGCAAAGCGGATAAAACAGAGTTTTCAGGATTTAGAATGCTTTTTAGAATACTACCTTAAAAGGAAGGAAGGTACAAAATTTTATCACCGCTTACAAGATCTTATCAAATTTTAAACCTGAGGAAGGGTTTGAACTCAGAGCAATCAGGTTGGACAAGCGAAAATGCAAATTGATTGACGGTTGCTGTGCGGTTACGGGTATTTGAGCTACAGCAGAAAAAGATGAGCAACAGTAAGTTGTTAATTTATTGGAGGGTGAAATCATTTGAAGTGAGAACAAGGAAAAGTGGAATTATGTTTTGTAGAACTATTGACCGCAACTCATGCATAAAAAGTTAACTGAACTAACATGGGATGTCGTGGAGGCTATGGAATATTTGTGCTTAATGTGTGAGGATTTTTTCCACATCATTAAAATTTCAGTAGCTATAATGGTTTTCGAAATTGAAGGATTCATTTTTTGCTGCATCTTTCTTACCCTGAAGTAACTAAACCTGTACATACTACTTTTCGAGCTAGTTTAAAGGAGGAAACATTATTTCAAGAGGTTATCGCCGGGTAGTGAAACTTTTGATGTCGTAAAGTTAAATAACTAATAAGGATCCAAATCTGAATACACATGTTACAATAGGTTCTATAATCGGGTAGATGATGACTAGTTATGGGGAACTGGCAGAAACTGCAAATTCT